AGGGAAAGATTATAGAGATAGCAATCACAAGCAAAAACAGTGCGTAAAATAATTTAAATGGTTATAATAGGCGTCTCAGAACAGTCAGAACGTAATCGCCTATGATCTTCTCGTCACGTTTCTTTCGATTCTCGAAGCTGCTGATTTTGATGATGCAACGACTAGTTAAGCAGATCTCAAAGCGCATGCGCGTGTCAATCTTAGGGCGGATTCACACCTTAGCGGAAAAGCGGAAAGCGGAAGAGCAGTAGCCAGTCAGGACTCGCGCTGGTAGTAAATAGTATAGAACTAACAGGGTTGCGTTCGGAAACATCACCCGCGAGCCACCGTGTATCATCTTATCTCTTCCGCCAAGGTGTGAAAACCACCCCTTAAACATACATGTAGATTATCTTTGGTCCTAACGTACGGCATACTGAAATGGTTTTACGGGCATTATAAACGCTTTCTTAAGAATAGACTATGGATTCCGGTTATAATAATATAAGAACCATAACAATTAAGGAGCCATTAAGAATGTATAAGCGCTATTTTTAAATTAAAACAAATTTTTTGTAGTTACAAGAATTTTTTGAAGATAATAAAACACATATCTTTAAAACGTTTAGAACGTGTCTCAATTAAGATGTACACATTTGGAATATTTATGATACAAGAATTTTTTGAAGATGAAATATATCTAAAATGTACACATTTGGAATATTAATGATACAAGAATTTTATGAATATGATGAAACATATCTTTAAAACGTTTAGAATATGTATCAATTGAAATGTACACATTTGGAATATTTATGATACAAGAATTTTTTGAAGATGAAACATATCTAAAATGTACACATTTGGAATATTAATGATACAAGAATTTTATAAATATGATGAAACATATCTTTAAAACGTTTAGAATATGTATCAATTGAGATGTACACATTTGGAATATTTATGATACAAGAATTTTTTGAAGATGATGAAACATATCTTCAAAATGTTTAGAATATGTATCAATTAATATATGCACATTTGAAATATTTATGATATAAAAAATTATGAAATGTTTTCTTTGCAACATTAATGAATTATATCATAAATGTAGAAATAAAATGTATCATTTGAAATCAGTGTGAAACAATTCAGAATGTTGCATAAATATCTCATGTTTAGTGGGTAACCGTCTAATATTGACACGTCAGATTTATAACAACATATTAATTTTTTTTGTTTAACGCGATTGCATATTATGAAACAAAATTATTAAAAAGTCAAAATTATTAAATAAATGAAAAATGGTAATTTTTCCTGGTAATATATTATGCGCGGTGCGGTGTTGTGAGAGGGACAGCGAAATCTAGACGGAGACGATTCAAAAATCAACCAAATGTTGCATTGTCCCCCTCACCGCTCCGCGGGCAGTCTAAATGTCCCATGACAGTCGAATACAATTTACGTATGTCCACTTTCTATTGGCAACTTTAATAATTATAATCAGTTACTTTTCGTGGTAATATATTACAATTTAATAATTAAAACAAGGTGAAGGACAATGAGAGTCAATTCGTAAGTAAACAAAAAAGCGATTATAACATAAAGATTATAATATGAATTTCTAAAGAAAAAGAATACAATAAAACACTTAGCCG